GTGACCTTTAGTAGAGCCGTCTCAGTGGTGTGGAACTTCCAGTGCGCCGACTGCAATTGGTTGAATCTGCCCATTCCAGCGACACGGAAAAGTAACCACCTCGGACTAAGGCACTCTATGACATTTGAAAGCATACTCAGGTTTCAAATTGGGTGACAGTTTGCAGGGTCACTATAGCTCAAGCCGAACTTTTTCGAGAGTGGTGTTACCTGCGCCATTTTGAACTGGTCTGGAACACAGCCCTCGCTGAAATAAATATTTTCCAGGTTGACAATCAGCAGCGCTAGCATGTCTGAGCATAATTTGAGAATCGACGTGTGGATGTAGTCGAGAGATGATGTTTTATTTGACAGCCATGCAATGAACATCGACACCTCAGCCACTGATCTTGGTGCCAGGGTCTCGAGTTTGGCATTGGTTCCAGGTTGATCAAACTCAGATGGCAGCCCGGGAGAATGTGTTGCCTTCAAGTTAGAAACTGTCATCTTGACCATCACTATTTTATTGGCGAAGAACGTTGCAAGTACTGTGCACAGACCAGGTTGACTAGTTGATGGATGGTTGGAGTGCAGCAGACCCTTCATGATAAGCCATAGAGCACGGGGTCACGAGCTGACTCATTGACATGAAGAGCTCAGAACGATCTGCGAGACTCAATAATGAGTCAGTTGTCAGATCTGCAGGTGGCTCTGTAAGCGAGTTGGACAGACTTAAAACCAAATATGCTCCAGCCTCCTCCGGGTCTGCTTTGCTGCGATAGTCTCCGGAGACAGACAGTTACTGCACGCTTTCCCCGTTCTCTTTGTGCTTGTTCAGATGACCACGATTTCATCAAGAACAACAGTGATATAATTTTCTAATTGAGCTGCAAATGATCGACCATCGATACAGGATTTAGACACGCCAATGAAGACCGAACTTCCGATGGCAAGCATTGTAGTCCAGTCAGTGGCGTCACTAGTGGGGTGCGGGTGGTGCGGACCGCACCGGGTGACACCGTCAGAGGGGGTGACACCAAAATGACTGTCTATACAATATTTGTGCAGTGTTTCGGCAGAAATGTATTATTTTTTTATTTTAAAAAATATCCCTGTAGTTAGTTATAACAACAAAAAATTTTCGTAAGCCCAGCTTACATGTACAATATACCTACAAGGCTAAAACTGTGCTAATTTACTTTTTGAACCTTCTAATGCGCTCCAGTCGGAGCTGTCATTATTACCCAATTACAATGATGCTTCAAGTCACGTGGTTTCGTCTGCACGCGCTACAAGCACGCGCTGTTGTTTTCGTTGCTGCTCGTGTATATATAGTCGCTGATTGTCACATTTTCTGTTGTTTTAGCTACAATATTTTTGTAATTAGTATTTGTGAAACTATATGAATAACTTTTTGGAGAATTAAGTAGTAATTAAAGGAAATATTGTAATTTAAAGGTGTAATTTTATTTTGCTAGTTGTTTATGTCACTACTATTGCCATTACATTCAGTGATATACGGTTATTATGATTTACGAGTAACATTTGTACAAAAAACATTACTAAGGATTCTGTATGGTCTGAAATGGGCAGAGGTCCATGAGGGGTGACACCAACCCTAGTGACGCCACTAAGTCCAGTCGTTTCTGGTCTTTGTATGACATCATTATGACGGATGGGCGAATAATCTATTCGGTAATGCTACTCTCACGTCACGTGACTGTGATCTGAAATACCCCACGTCTCCACTAACAATGTTGGTCGCAGTTACAGCATCGGCGGATGTGAAAATATGCTCCAGTATATTTCTGAAGTTACATGTTGCACCACTAATGTGCTGGGTTAAACTGTGACTGTTGATTCTATCGGCAAGATCACTAGATTTTACCACAACAACTTGTTCGTTCGGGACAGTTCAAGTCACCGCAGATGATGTAGCAAGGGCTAAGTGACCCACAGTCTAGCAGACTGGAAAGCTGGGAAAATTAAATAAAAACATTTTAAGAAAATGGTTTAAGAAATGTATTTCGTACAGAAAATTATTAGTTGACATGGCAACTCACTGCCCCCATACAGAGAGCGCTCCCATGGCAAAGTGGCACAGAGACCTCCCCAAGTGGGCCCCGTCTGCTGACCGATGGGGGGAGACCAACCAACCGCCAATGAGCTACATTTTTGATTTACCATATAAAGTGGAGATCTTTACATATCGCGCGAGATACTGATTTGAGGCTAGGCTGACCTCGGGGAGGCCCAGGACCGGTACAGGTTATAATCGTCACTCGTGTTAGCCGTGAGCGGGAGTCGAACTCGGGTCGCTGGGTTCATAGTGCAGCACGTTAACCGCTACACCACTGCTCCCCATGCTTACGGACTACATGCACACGTGACGCCAGCCTGCCCATACAATGGGCTATTGATGATCCAAAGCCAGCAAAGAGAATTTCACAAAATGTATCTGATGAAGCCTGAATTCCCAAATGAGATTTTACCTCCAGATTTCATATTTAGGAAAATAAACTTCGGAGTGCACGTGTGCCCAACATACAAGGGCACATAAGGACACCCACAAAAATCACACGCACACTGAAACACACACAAAGACCACCCATATTGCATTTAACTGACTGTTGGGGAATGCTGTTCGCGAGCACCTATGAAGACCGGCACAGCAGACGAGCACACAAGGATGTGGGTGGTCAACACCACACCTGGCAGCTGCCTTCATCTCCGGTCCTTCTATTTACACTCTGCACCAGGTATTCATTTAAGGCTGAATCGACCTCGGGGAGGCCCAGGACCGGTGGGAATATTCGCGACTGATGTAACCTTTAACAGACTGTTGGGAGAAGCGCTGTGATCGCAAACACACACATACTGTATAGACACAAACGATGATGACAAACCCACGCAATGATACACATACATGTGTAGGACTCGTACTGATGCGACAGCTTATTTGTCTTTCTCGTCTCTTTTATTCATGCATATAGTTCACACCTCCTCCTCGTCATCACTCCATGCCTCTCCGTTCGCTCCCATGCACAACCCGCCATCAACAACACTCCATGTCTCCCCGTTCGCTCACTCCGCTCCGTGACTTTCGCTCGCTCTCCCTCTCTCCCAAGGTCCGTTACTCCGCTGCTACCCTACTCTGTACTCACTCCGTCCCATTGCTACCGTACACTGTATTCCCTCTATCCACTGCCTCCGCTGCTTCCCTACTCTGTACTCACTCCGTCCATTGCTACCGTACACTGTATTATCTCTATCCACTGCTACCGTACACTGTAATATCTCTATCCACTGCTACCGTACACTGTGTTCTCTCTATCCACTGCTACCGTACACTGTGTTCTCTCTATCTACCCTTATCGTATCTATTCTTGCTCCCTGCTGCTCCGCCTCTGTCCCGGGCACCAACCACTCCAACTCCGACTCCTACACCAACCAAGACTTCAAGACTCCCCGTCTCTCCGTTACGCTGTGCCTTTATACCCGAACCAATCAACCCTAATTAATTATCTCATCCCCCGCTTCGCTACTCGCCCCCAGGCTCCCAGCCTCACGTGACCATGTTATCGCCGCCAGCTCGGCGCCAGTCATCAGCCACTCACCCTCCTGACCAATCACCGGCCTGCATCCTCAGTTACCCCTAACACCTGTGGCGTCTCTTAACGACCTCCCCCTTAATGCCACGACAACAACAACTCTATCCTCAGTTGCCCCCACTGTACGCTGCTCGCTTTGGATAGCAACAGAACGCGTGGCGCGTGATATTTCAAGTCCTACACATGTGTACAGCCAGTCCTCTACCTACGAACATCCGCACTTACGAACACCCGCACTTACGAACCAGCTTCCTTGATATATTTTTTTACCATTAACTTAAAATGCGAACTCACACTGGCAAACTGAACCGCGGAACTATTTTGTTCAGCGGACCAATCCTTGGCGAGATGTAATGAAGAAGCCTCGCGCTGGGAGTGTTTGTGTTCGTGCGCATATGTGTGTGTGAAAGTGTGTGAGCACCTCCGGCAGGCAAGGCTGCATTGGCTGGGCCATGTAGCCCGCATGCCCAATCACCGCATGCCCAAACAGCTTTTGTTCGGCCGGATCGAGGGGGCTAAACGGGCACGGCACGGGCTAGAGAAGAGATGGAGTGACGTGGTACAGGAGGATGTGGAGCTCAGTGGACTTGCCGATGACTGGTACCAGCGGTGTCAAGATCGGCCTCTGTGGAGGAGGCTCGTGAAGGACGCTACTGGGCAGTTGGAGGCAGTCGCCCTCCAAAAACAACAAAGGGCGGAGGAGCGACGCTCACAACAACGAGCGGAGCGCCGGGTGGCTAAAGCACAGCAAGTTGGCACAGTAGGGAGCACAGTTGGTGCATCAACCAGTCATCTCAGTAATTTCAGTCAGTCGACCCGTGGCACCTGGGTCTGCCCCGTGACCTCCTGCCAGCGGGCGTTCGACACTTCACGTGGCCTCAAGGTGCACATGGCCTGGCACAAGCGTCGTGGTGACGTCAACGCCACTTAGTGGTGTATGGCGGTTGTTGTGTAGGGGTCGGTAGTGCAACAGTTAGCGCGCTGCACTACGAACCCGGGGACCCGAGTTTGATTCCCGCTCACAGCTAACACGAGTAACGAATATCTAAATGAGTCATTGGCCTCCCCTAGGTCGACTCAGCCTCAAATGAGTACCGGGTAAGGTGTGTAAACATCGCCACTGGGAAGACAAATGCGGTTGGACGATGTGCTGGTCCCCCACCCCTCATGTGCCGTGCCAGCTTTCATTGGTGCTAATTGCTAACAGCACTTGCTCCTGCGGTCTCAAAAGGCTAACAGGGTATAATGTCTTGGGTCGCCCATCTGGTATGTAGAGGGGGAGGTGTTTGTCTTTATATATTCGTGTGTTGATTGTTCATGGTAGTTTTGGCTGAAGGCGTGACCCTAATGTATAAAGGGAGGGCCAGGGACAAGGGAAAACCTCAGAGAGAATTTGGCAGGATCTCAACGCAGAAGCAAAGGCCAGATGTGCAAAGTAAGTCTGTGTGTGTATGTACCGTTCACGTGTTCTGTGATTAAACCAGGCTCAAGAAATTACATTTGGTTCTTCGTTTGACAATCCAGATTTAAAATTTAAAATAGTTTGACTGTCATGTGGCTGACATAAATTGTGTAATTATCCTGCGGAGCATTGTTGCAGTGGTTAAGGCACCGCACAATGAAGCCGAATGACCCAACTTCGATTAATGGCCATGGCTAAAATCAATAGCGAACGATATCTGATCCGTACATTAGTCACAATGGGTTGGTGAATGGTGGTGCCCAGGACCAGTTAAGATATCACTCACCGGGGTCTGGAATCGAACGGAGGTTGCATATTGCGGTGTGCTAACCACCGAGCCACTTCTCCCCATTCTAAATTACTAGAAAAATACACAGGAGGTTCTCGCTGGTCTTCACTCATCACTGGGACGAGGTGTTATGCACCAATCAACAGCTTAACACATTTTCTTCTGAAGAATATACACTTCGTTCGACTCGGATCTGGAGTTTAGGCACAGGATAAAACAAGTAGTGTTCATTCGTTCGTTAGTTCCTCAATCCGCTTGTCCTGGTGAGGGTCGCAACGGCAACATGTTGAGTAGTGGCGGTCGAGACCTCCCTTTCCCTGGCGACAGACCCCAGCTCTTGCTAGGGAATTCCCAGGCGTTTCCATGTCAGCCGAGCGACATCGTCCCGCCAGCATGTCCTGGGCCAGTCCCGGGGTCGTCTACCAAATCAAGTCATGTATATTACAAAATTGCTCTATTAATGGCATTATATGTGTATATATGGATTAAACAAAATAATTTATATTTTGATTTAAAGCTTTCGTGACTGCAGGGATTCATATTCTTGGTTCTTTCGGTAAAGTCACGTAAAAGGGAAATAATAAAATAATACAAATATAATGATGATTGCTTGTGTTGCAGTCGAAACGTCGTGAGAATTTTCATTGTTCTATCTTTTTATTATTTTATTATTTCCCTTCTACGTGACTTTACCGAACGAACCAAGAATATAACATCATTTATATTGTATCTTGTGACTAAACAATAGGTCCGAGCAAATAAATTATTTTCCTCACCAAAAAATCTACCAAAACCCTAATTTAAACCCACTGATAATAAAACCAACTTATATTTTTTATGCGAGATATTTCTGCGAAAACGACAATGCTGTGGCTCAATATACTGACTGGCCGCTCCCCCAGATGTCCGTCTTATCTCTGCTGCTCGCCTCGGCTCTGCTCTCCGTGACCACGGAGCTGGGAGAAGGAGCTGGCGCCCAGGAGGATAGAGCCGTGTGTGCGGGGATGAGCGGGATCCCGGGGACCCCTGGGCAGCACGGGGCCCCTGGGAGGGACGGCAGGGACGGGAAAGACGGTGAGGGGAATTGATTCACAGCCCACAGCTGTCATTGAGATGCGCTTCTGCAGCCGTCTGGAACGCTTTTGCTTCCGATTTTAGGACGCCACTTGAGTTATGCAATTTTGAATTGATATTGAAAACGCATTTCTTTAGAACTGCTTTTTGTGTTTAGTTTGTCATCCTTCCCCCACACTTCCGATTAGCACGGTTGACTACATAAGGTGCGAAAGACGTTCAACATATATACATACAGTGAGGGAAAAAAGTATTTGATCTCCTGCTGATTTTGTACGTTTGCCCACTGACAAATAAATGATGAGTCTATAATTTTAATGGTAGGTTTATTTGAACAGTGGGAAACAGAATAACAACAACAAAATCCAGAAAAACGCATGTCAAAAGTTTTATAAATTGATTTGCATTTTAATGAGGGAAATTAGTATTTGACCCCTCTGCAAAACATGACTTAGTACTTGGTGGCAAAACCCTTGTTGGAAATCACAGAGGTCAGACGTTTCTTGTAGTTGGCCACCAGGTTTGCACACATCTCAGGAGGGATTTTGTCCCACTCTTCTTTGCAGATCTTCTCCAAGTCATTAAGGTTTCGAGGCTGACGTTTGGCAACTCGAACCTTCAGTTCCCTAGGCCACTCCAGGACATCAATGTGCTTCTTTTTGAGCCACTCCGTTGTTGCCTTGGCCGTGTGTTTTGGGTCATTGTCATGCTAGAATACCAATCCACGACCCATTTTCAATGCCATGGCTGAGGGAAGGAGGTTCTCACACAAGATTTGACGGTACATGGCCCCGTCCATCGTCCCTTTGATGCAGTGAAGTTGTCCTGTCCCCTTAGCAGAAAAACACCCCCAAAGCATAATGTTTCCACCTCCATGTTGGACGGTGGGGATGGTGTTCTTGGGGTCATAGGCAGCATTCCTCCTCCTACAAACACGGCGAGTTGAGTTGATGCCAAATAGCTCAATTTTGGTCTCATCTGACCACAATACTTTCACCCAGTTGTCATCTGAATCATTCGGATGTTCATTGGCAAACTTCAGACGGGCATGTATATGTGCTTTCTTGAGCAGGGGGACATTGCGGGTGCTGCGGGATTTCAGTCCTTCACGGCATAGTGTGTTACCAACTGTTCTCTTGGTGACTATGGTCCCAGCTGCCTTGATTCCTCACTGTTCTCATGATCATTGCAACTCCACGAGGTGAGATCTTGCATGGAGCCCCAGGCCGAAGGAGATTGACAGTTATTTTGTGTTTCTTCCATTTGCGAATAATCGCACCAACTGTTGTCACCTTCTCACCAAGCTGCTTGGCGATGGTCTTGTAGCCCATTCCAGCCTTGTGTAGGTCTACAATCTTGTCCCTGACATCCTTGGAGAGCTCTTTGGTCTTGGCCATGGTGGAGAGTTTTGAATCTGATTGATTGATTGCTTCTGTGAACAGGTGTCTTTTATACAGGTAACAAGCTGAGATTAGGAGCACTCCCTTTAAGAGTGTGCTCCTAATCTCAGCTCATTACCTGCATAAAAGACACCTGGGAGCCAGAAATCTTTCTGATTGAGAGGGGTTAAATACTTATTTCCCTCATTAAAATGCAAATTAATTTATAACATTTTTGACATGCGTTTTTCTGGATTTTTTTGTTGTTATTCTGTCTCTCACTGTTCAAATAAACCTACCTTTAAAATTATAGACTGATCATTTCTTTGTCAGTGGGCAAACGTACAAAATCAGCAGGGGATCAAATACTTTTTTCCCTCACTGTACATGTGTGACTCGTTAATTCACTCATTCAGGTAGGAGAGTGCGTGGAGGGGAGTAGAGTGAAATGAGAGGTAGGCGGTGGCGAGTCCATAGAGAATCCTGATAACCGTGAGAGAGATCTTGTAGTTGATGTTGGATTGGATTGGGAGCCAGTGAAGGAATAGGGCAGCAGAAGACTCATAATCATAATCTTCATTCATCGTGGAAAAATCCAACGAGCTAGTAAGCTTTCTTTCACAGATGTCCAGTAGGGGTTAGTCAGAAAGTTACAACAACAATGTCTCGAGGGGTTGCTGATCCGTTCATTGTTCTTTTCGCAGGTGTGATGGGAACACCTGGAGCTAAGGGAGACCGCGGGGCTTCAGGTGACAAAGGCGTGCAAGGGGAGCCAGGTGAGCAGGGGTTTATCCAGATAGGGTGAGTCGTGCCCTGATGGCAGCAGACTTTTCTGCCACGTGGTGAGTTGTCCGCATTAAGTCAAATATGAAACGAAGCCTCTTCTTTGTTCATTAGATTCGTCACGTAACGTTAGTTTTTTTTTGTAACGTTGTTTTATCGTCATTAAAGAACCCACAATGCAATGTGGATTTAAAAAATGGAAAAAAATAACAGATAACGTGTGTAACAAACTCGACGAAATGCACGCTTAAAATCAGTGATCAAACGAGGGAGTTCGGGCTCACTGCCGATACCTCAGTAGGAGTAATCACATCACGTTTGTTGATGAATAACATCGGCTGGCCTGACATCAAACTGCAGCAGCAGCCAACAACTGTATATGGCTGAGGGAGAAAATGAGCTTCTACGTTCAGATCCTGAAGAAGCTCCTAACATGCTGAAGTTAATGCCAAACACAGGGGTCATTCTGCAAATATATATGAGGTTAAATGAAAACGTCTATTGAACCCGATGATGTGGCAATCAAGTGCCCAAGTGATTAGGACATCGACCTGTGATAGCAAACAAAAAAGTTTAAACAAAACACACCTCAATTGTGCATCTTATTAAGAAGCCACTGGAGCTATGTATTTTTAAAATATAGATGGAAAACTAATTTATTTTAAAATGTTTTTTGTGTTTTCATTTGTTGCCCCTCCCCCGGACCTCCAATTAGCATGGTTGGTGTGAAAGCAATTCAATATACATACACGTGTCGCACAGTGCCACCAACGGAGATTTGTGTCACCCATCTCTCAGTCGAGCACGTTGACATTTGACCTTGTTACCCTGTGTCTGTCTAGGTCTCCCGGGAAAGCTGGGCCCTCTTGGCCAATCAGGGCCCATGGGGCCTCCAGGAATCCCAGGTGAGAAGGGCGAACGAGGCGGCAAAACAGAGAATGGCGTGGGGCCCAGGTCAGCCTTCTCGGCAAAGATTGTGCTTTCCACACCGGCAACCGGATGCCCCATGAAGTTTGACGTCATCATCACCAACCCACAGGGGCACTACAACCCCATCACAGGAAAGTTTACTTGTGCATCCCCCGGCACCTACTACTTCACCTTGTTTATGCACTCAAGTGCCAGTGGCCATCTCGTGGTTATGATAATGAAAAATGGGCAATTGATATCCAATGTATGTGCCAGCCCAGACGAGGAAATTGGCGGTAGCGTCGTGCTGAGCCTCGAGACGGGAGATCAGGTATGGCTCGAGATGAAAGCTCCATACACCCATTTGCGAAATAACGAAAACAGGGACTCGCTGTTTAGTGGCTTTCTCCTTTTCCCCGACTGAATTGACTTCCATTGTCAGGGAATATGAAGTGAACACATGCACATCCTCATGAACATATTCACGCGTGCATAAATGCATACATCTTGACTTAAAGCATTCATGACTGCACAATTCATATTCTTTGGGTCTTTCAGTAAAGTCACGTAGATAGGTTGAAAGATCGAAACGTCGTAGTTTTTCTTGTTATTTTATTTCAAACTATCTACGTGACTTTACCGGAAGACCCAAAGAATGTAAATGCATACATATAAGATGAAGAATAGGACCCCCCCTATCGACTTTAACAGACTTTTGTTAAAAACGCTATGAGGGTCCAGAAATGTGCAGACATGTTCTTGGGGATCAGAGACTGGATCGCCATAGGGGTGGTGCTCGAATTTTTTTTTTGTATTAAAGAGTGTTGTGTTCTCATGGGCCAGCAACCCACAACCACCATGCGTAACTCGTAGAGCTGAGTGGCTCTAAGCGAACGCTTTGCTAAACCTCATTCTCGGGCATAGAATGTTGTAATCAGAGAATAGATCTGCCACTTTCTTTCAACTGGCTGCAACACCTCCTCCATGAGGATGTTTGGGGAGGTCTGGATTGGGTACCGAATGCTGTCAATGCAGCTGCACTAGCCACAGTCCTGGACCTCATCTATTTTCGATTGGCATCAGCAGAAGATGAAAAGTCTTTAATTCCTGGATACAAGTGATGATACAATTCTCGCTTCGAACTTTCAACATATAATGCAGACCGTCCCTCACATAAATGGGGTCTTTTGTGGATGCTTGCTTCCACAATGGAAGAATGGCAGGCATATCCTACAGATGAAAACCTGATGGGCAGTGGCCAGATCAGCTCCACAGTATGTCCTCATGTCAAGCAGATAAGCTCACGTTGACTGTTCCACATTGCATCGTGCAACAGATATTTCTGCTTTGACCTGACACACCCGAAGTGTTATGTGATGACAGAAAAGGATGTTGGTCGTTATGAGCCCATGGGTTGCACAGCAATCCAGCATTATTATTATTGAGATGATTTGTGGTATGCTTTTCAAAAATTCCACCTAAAGTGTTAGGCTCGTGACCCACCTTCGGCTTTAATAGAAGGCGCATTGTCCTTGGCTGCGACCCTCAATAGATGGTCATCATTAGTAGGGACTGAATCAACCAACACAATTCCTCACCACACATACACACACATTTGTAGAACACAGGCAGTTAAAAATATATATACACGTGCAGTTAATACACGCGCGAAGACAAAGCTCCCAGTATAGCCTTAACTGACTGTAGGGACAAATGCTTTTAGCGAGCACCTATTAAGGCCGGCACAGTCAACGAGGGGATGGGTGACTAGTACCACGCCCGACCGCCTTGGCTTCCCTAAGTTAGTTGTTTACACACCGCACAAGGTACTCGTTTGAGGCTGAATTGACATAAAGGAGGCCCAGGACCGGTTCATATATTCGTCATTGGTGGTGGCAGTAAGTGAGTTTCGAAATCAGGTTACGGGTTCATAGAGCCGTGCGCTAACCACTACCCTACGGCTCCCTACATACACGCATACGCACAGATACAACACAGACGACACTCAGCAGATGCTTGTTTTTTATTATTTGTGATGTTAACCATGAGACGATAGATGTTGTAAGTTCACGGGGCCCCTGCTAGCACTAGAGGCCGCTACATTTAACGCAAAAATATATTCGATTGTGTTTTTTTAACTCGTCAATGTTCAGTTTTAACCCTGTACTGCTTGTTTTTTGTTGCTTAAAGTCGTTCATTTGCGTTTCTGCTCTGCTTAATATTTAGACTCATGTGATGTTGATTTGCTCTATCATTGCGTGGCTCTGTTTTGTTTTGAATAAATTAAGAACCTGTATTCATTTATATTTGTGTAATGGGTTCAACTGAGTCGCAGACGTCGACTTTGAAGGCAACACATTTATTCAGTTCCAACACACGAGGTAAATTCCCTTTCACAGAATAACAACCTAAGGTGGTGACCACCCAGCTAACTATACTAGTTACCACGTAACTGTTACTACGGACCCAGGACTACAACATCTGCCCGGGTCCACGTGCTGGAAGACTTAAAACGGAGATCGTAGACGAAGGGTTTCTTCCCGGGATGAACAACCCTGGTCCCTCTCGGGACCCGGCTTATATTTTCTGTGGCATGGCCGACTCCGCCCTTGGCCACGTCCACCTTCCAGAATCCTCGGGAAGGATCTGGGTCCCAATCACATGACCCACCCTTCACCCCCTCTTGGGGCCCCTCTGTCAACTTAACCGGTTACGTGTCCTCCTGGGTCAACCAGAGTGCCATGGCCTCACACAACCTTATCCTTCGGTCCGTACCAAAATACCCTGTCCTGTAGGGTCGGCACTGCACTTACAGCCTGGTGCCATCCAGCACTATTATCCAGTGCACACCGTACCCCTCGAGGGCCGGCCCTATACTTACAACATGGTGGCATCCAGCGATGGCATTACATCGCACACCGTGCCCCTCTAGGGCCGGTACTGCACCCACAGCATGGTGACATCCAGCGATGTCACTACATCACCCCCCCCCCCCTTCGTAAAACTCAGCCGTCCTGGCTGTCAACTCCCCCTCAACAAATAAATACCCCATCCCATATCTATATCATTAAAAGGGAAATTCGTGAATATGTGTGTCTGTTCTAAATGTTTAGCATACTTCCCAACATGCAACAAACTTGGAATTTGGTATGTGGGTTGCTTCCAGACTGTACACAATGCAAAGAGTATAAAATAGGCTTTTGTATTTTTGCACGGTAAGTGAGTGGTGACGTCACATGATGTCACCCGCATGCGGCAGCGTTACGCAGTGTGCCTGCTGACGTCATGCATCCCCCCCCACCCTCCGCGTAGGCTGTGTATTAATCCAAGACAAGAATCCAAGTCTCGGGCGAAGCCGGGTAGTAAAGCTAGTATACAATATTTACAATATTTCCAGTGATGAATGGGGGAAGGGAACAGGGATATAGAACTCAACAATAGGCAACAACACAATGGAAAAGAGAAGGGGAGGGAGAAAGAAGAAAGAGACCGGTACAGATTATAATCATCACTCGTGTTAGCCGTGAGCGGGAGTCTAACTGTTACACCACTGCTCCCCACACGTACGGACTACTTGCACAGAGAAACACATGTGACGCCTGCCTGTTAACACAATGGGCTATTGATGATCCAAAACCAGCAAAGATAATTTCACAAAATTTCTCTGATGAAGCCTGAATTCCCAAATGAGATTTTACCTCCAGATTTCATCTTTAAGAAAATAAACTTTGGAGTGCATGTGTGCCCAACATACACGGGCACATAAGGACACGACAACAACAATAACAACCGCCACTCGCCACAAAGTGGCGGTGAAGTCACCACAATGCTTGTGCCAGGCCATGTGCACCTTGAGGCCACGAGAAGTGTCGAATGCCCGCTGGCAGGAGGTCACGGGGCAGACCTAGGTGCCACGGGTTGACTGACTGAGATGACCGAGATGACTGGCTGATGCACCACCTGTGCCCCCTACTGTGCCAACTTGCTGTGCTTTAGCCACCCGGCGCTCCGCTCGTTGTTGTGAGCATCGCTCCTCCGCCCTCCGTTTTTGCTGGAGGGCGACTGCCTCCAACTGCCCAGTAGCGTCCTTCACGAGCCTCCTCCACAGAGGTCGATCTTGACACCGCTGGTACCAGTCATCGGCAAATCCACTCAGCTCCACATCCTCCTGTACCACATCACTCCATCTCTTCTCTAGCCCGTGCCACGCCCGTTTATCCCCCTCGATCCGGCCGATTTGAAGCTTCGTGCGGAGCGATAGACCAGGTAGCTTCCACACAGTGTTACGCAACCGATGAAAAGATATTGCCGCTCGACTGATTCGGAGTGAGACCTCTGCTGTTAAACTGGAACCGGTCATAAGCACACTGCCCAGGTATGGGAAACTCTCCACTCTCTCCACTACTGCCCCATCACCGATTGGAAGTTGTGGGGGTGGCATGCTTCAGTCTCAGCAGCAGCGTCTCCAACTCCTCCTCTGAATGAGCAGCTATTATCAAATCATCGGCATACACAACGTGGTTGACCAATAGGGAGCCATCCCTTGATCGCACCCGGGCATCGATCAGCCTCCCATTATATCTGTACCAAATGGAAATTCCCCCGGTACAGCTATTGAAGGCTTCACGAACTACGTGGTAAAAATAGATGTTAAATAATGTGGGAGCCAGAGGACATTCCTGTCGCACACCAAGATGTACAGGGAAAGGCTCTGACTCCCGGCCACGTAGTTTTACCCGGGCACGCTCACCATCATGAAGGTCCTTAATGATCGTGAGCAGAGGGTCAGGGACTCCGAAAGCACGAAGAACAACCCAGAGCCCAGGCCTACTGATGGTATCATAGGCCTTGACCAGGTCAATAAAGCAGAGATGTAGGTCTTGTTGGAATTCCCTACACCTTTGCTGTAGCAGACGGACAGAAAATATGGCATCTGTGCAGGACCACCGTTTCCTGAAACCGCATTGGGGTTCCGCAAGCCTCTCCTCAGCGTGCCTAGCAAGGCGATGTTGAATAATCCTTGCCAGGACCTTTCATGGCACGCTGAGGAGTGAGATGCCCCTGTAGTTGTTACAGTCTGTGCGGTCCCCCTTCTTAAAGAGGGGGACCACCAGGGCATCCTTCCAATCCTGCGGAACCCGTCCAGCGGTCCAGACTGTTGTTATGATGTCATATAGGGCAGTCTGTGCACAAACGCCACCCTCCCTCAGCATTTCGCTTGGGAGATCATCTCTGCCCGGTGCCTTTCCTGGTCTCAGACTCCGGATCACCTTCAGTACAACAAATGGCACCTCAGCCAGCCACTCACAGGGGGTGACTTCTTCCAATATTTGAGGCACCGCAGCCTCAGCAGGGTTATCCCCACTTTGTGCCATGATGTTTTCCTGGCTGAGGGATTTCCCCTCCCCCAGGACCTCACAGAAATGCTCATCAAATCTGCAAACCTGTTCCTGGGGGTCGGAGATTGGATCGCCGTTTTTTCCCCTAATGATAGTAATAGGTGTGGCGCTGCAGGTTACTTTTTTGATGGAGTTAAATAGTGCTTTGTGATCGCAGGCCACAGAGGCAGACTCCATCTCCTCAGCAACCCGCGACCACCACCCATCCTTGCAGTGCCTTACGGCTCTCCGAACCTCCGAGCGAAGGCTGAGGTTAACCTCCTCATTCTCTGACTTGGGATGCCGTAGCCGATGAGAGTGGGCCTGTCGCTTTTTCTCAACTATCCTGAACACCTCCTCTGTCAGCCATGGTCTCCGGGGAGGTCTGGACCGCGTGCCCAAAGCAGCCATTGCAGCTGCATGAGTCACAGTCCTAAACCTCGCCCATTTACCCTCGACATCAGGAGGAGTGGGGGACGATGCCAACCCCAGCTGCAAGCAATGATGAAATTCTCACTTGCAACTTTCATCAGCTAACTGAGACCAGGCCACTTTAGGTTGGAATGGGGTCCTGGGTGTACACCCACCACCAGAGTGGAAGAATGGCAGGCGCATCTTACAGATGACTAGTCGATGGTCAGAGGGCAGATCAGCTCCATGGTAGGTCCTGGTGTCAAGGACATGGGCTCGCATCCGCTGGTCCATCACGATGTAGTCCAGCAGATGTTCTTGCTTGGACCCGGCATGCATCCATGATGTTGTGTGGATGCACCAATGCCGGAAGAGCGTGTTGGTAATTACAAGCCCATGGGCTGCACAAAAATCTAGCAGCCTCCTACCGTTGTTATTGAGCTGATCTGGCCCATGCCTTTCAATCACTCCAGACCAGGTGCCAGCATCATGCCCAACTCGGGCATTGAAGTCACCCAAAAAGATGACTCTGTCCCAAGTGGCCACTTTAGCTAGCACCTGTGACAGGAGGTCATAAAAGGCATCTGACTCATCGGCTTTTCCTGCATCCCTCCACGGATGTTGGTCTTCGGTGGGGGCATAAGAAACCACGACCACCACTCCTCGCCTCCGGTTGATGGGAAGGCGAGCCCAAAGTAGCCTGGAGCTTACAGCTTCCCACACCTCACTGCCCCGCTCCCACACCCCCTTCATTCTTTTGTTCAGAAGAAGAGCCACACCCTGTTGTTTGGTAGTCTCCTGCCCCGAGTAGAGGACTGTCCACCCCTCATGGTGGCAGGAGCCAGAACCGGTCCACCGGACCTCCTGAATGTTACAGAGATCCAGGCGGTACTGGTCCAGCTCCCGACAAATGAGTGGCAGCCTCTCCTCCGCAGTAAGCGTTCGGACATTCCACGTGGCCATCCGTAGTGGCTTATCGTTGTTTCTGGAGGAGCCCCGAGGGTGAAGATTCAATCTCCTGGCTCCGCCAATTGGGGTTTGGCCAGGATACGTCATAGACGGGGCCTCCGGCACAAGCTTATTAGTTACATATTTATATTTCGATTTAAAGCTTTCGTGACTGCAGGGATTCATCTTCTTGGTTCTTTCTGTAAAGTCACGTAGAAGGGAAAAAATAAAATAATAAAAATAAAAGGTCTGTCGGAAAGACAGCCCGCATGCCATATCACCGCATGCCCAAACAGCTTTTGTTCGGCCGGATCAAGGGGGCTAAACGGGCACACGGCACGGGCTAGAGAAGAGATGGAGTGACGTGGTACAGGAGGATGTGGAGCTGAGTGGACTTGCCGATGACTGGTACCAGCGGTGTCAAGATCGCCCTCTGTGGAGGAGGCTCGTGAAGGATGCTACTGGGCAATTGGAGGCAGTCACCCTCCAACAACAACAGAGGGCGGAGGAGCGACGCTCAAAATAACGAGCGGAGCGCCTGGTAGCTAAAGCACAGCAAGTTGGCACAGTAGGGAGCACAGGTGGTGCATCAACCAGTCATCTCGGTAATTTCAGTCAGTCGACCCGTGGGACCTGGGTCTGCCCCGTGACGTCCTGCCAGCGGGCGTTCGACACTTCACATGGCCTCAAGGTGCAGATGGCCTGCACAAGCGTCGTGGTGACGTCACCGCCACTTAGTGGCAAATGGCGGTTGTTGTTGTGTAGGGGTCAGTAGTGCAACAGTTAGCGCGCTGCACTATGAACCCGGGGACCCGAGTTTGATTCCCGCTCGCAGCTAACACGAGTAACGAATATCTAAATGGGTCATTGGCCTCCCCTAGGTCAACTCAGCCTCAAATGAGTACCGGGTAAGGTGTGTAAACATCGCCACTGGAAAGACAAATGCGGTTGGACGAGGTGCTGGCCCCCCACCCCTCATGTACCGTGCCAGCTTTCATTGGAACTAATTGCTAACAGCACATGCTCCTACAGTCTGAAAAGGCTAACAGGGTATAATGTCTTGGGTCGCCCATCTGGTATGTGGAGGGGGAGGTGTTTGTCTTTATATATTCGTGTGTTGATTGTTCATGGTAGTTTTGGCTGAAGGCGTGACCCGAATGTATAAAGGGAGGGCCAGGGACAAGGGAAAACCTCAGAGAGAATTTGGCAGGATCTCAATGCAGAAGCAAAGGCCAGATGTGCAAAGTAAGTCTGTGTGTGTGGATGTACCATTCACGTGTTCTGTAATTAAACCAGGCTCAAGTAATTACATTTGGTTCTTCGTTTGACAATCCAGATTTAAGATTTAAAATAGTTTGACTGTCATGTGGCTGACATAAATTGTGTAATTATCCTGTGGAGCATTGTCGCAGTGGTTAAGGCACTGCGCAATGAAGCCGAATGACCCAACTTCGATTAATGGCCATGGCTAAAATCAGTAGCGAACGATATCTGATCCGTACATTAGTCACAATAGGTTGGTGAATGGTGGTGCCCTGGACCAGTTAAGATATCACTCACCGGGGTCTGGAATCGAAAGGAGGTTGCTTATTGCGGTGTGCTAACCACCGAGCCACTTCTCCCCATTCGAAATTACTAGAAAAATACACGGGAGGTTCTCGCTGGTCTTCACTCATCTCTGGGACGAGGTGTTACGCACCAATCAACAGCTTACCCCCATTCTCTTCTGAAGAATATACACTTCGTTCGACTCGGATCTGGAGTTTATCCGCTTGTCGTAACGGCAGCATGTTGAGTAGTGGCGGTCCAGACCTCCCTTTCCCTGGCGACAGACCCCAGCTCTTGCTAGGGAATTCCCAGGCGTTTCCATGCCAGCCGAGCGACATCGTCCCGCCAGCATATCCTGAGCCAGTCCCTGGGTCTTCTACCAAATCAAGTCATGTATATTACAAAATTGCTCTATTAATGGCATTATATGTGTATATATGGATTGAACAACATAATTTATATTTTGATTTAAAGCTTTCGTGACTGCAGGGATTCATATTCTTGGTTCTTTCGGTAAAGTCACGTAAAAGGAAAATAATAAAATAATATAAATATAATGATGATTGCTTGTGTTGCAGTCGAAACTTCGTGAGAATTTTTATTGTTTTATATTTTTATTATTTTATTATTTCCCTTCTACGTGACTTTACCGAAAGAACCAAGAATATAACATTATTTATATTGTATCTTGTGACTAAACAATAGGTCCGAGCAAATCAATTATTTTCCTCACCAAAAAATCTACCAAAACCCTAATTTAAACCCACTGATAATAAAACCAACTTATATTTTTTATGCGAGATATTTCTGCGAAAACGACAATGCTGTGGCTCAATCAACTGACTGGCCGCTCCCCCAGATGTCCGTCTTATCTCTGCTGCTCGCCTCGGCTCTGCTCTCCGTGACCACGGAGCTGGGAGAAGGAGCTGGTGCCCAGGAGGACAGGGCCGTGTGTGCGGGGATGAGCGGGATCCCGGGGACCCCAGGGCAGCACGGGGCCCCTGGGAGGGACGGCAGGGATGGGAAAGACGGTGAGGGGAATTGATTCACAGCCCACAGCTGTCATTGAGATGCGCTTCTGCAGCCGTCTGGAACGCTTTTGCTTTCGATTTTAGGACGTCACTTGAGTTATGCACTTTTGAATTGATATTGAAAACGCATTTCTTTAGAACTGCTTTTTGTGTTTAGTTTGTCATCCTTCTCCCACACTTCCGATTAGCACGGTTGACTACATAAGGTGCGAAAGACGTTTAACATATATACATACAGTGAGGGAAAAAAGTAGTTGATCTCCTGCTGATTTTGTACGTTTGCCCACTGACAAATAAATGACCAGTCTATAATTTTAATGATAGGTTTATTTGAACAGTGGGAGACAGAATAACAACAACAAAATCCAGAAAAACGCATGTCAAAAGTTTTATAAATTGATTTGCATTTTAATGAGGGAAATAAGTATTTGACCCCTCTGCAAAACATGACTTAGTACTTGGTGGCAAAACCCTTGTTGGCAATCACAGAGGTCAGACGTTTCTTGTAGTTGGCCACCAGGTTTGCACACATCTCAGGAGGGATTTTGTCCCACTCCTCTTTGCAGATCTTCTCCAAGTCATTAAGGTTTCGAGGCTGACGTTTGGCAACTCGAACCTTCAGCTCCCTCCACAGATGTTCTATGGGATTAAGGTCTGGAGACTGGCTAGGCCACTCCAGGACCTCAATGTGCTTCTTTTTGAGCCACTCCGTTGTTGCCTTGGCCGTGTGTTTTGGGTCATTGTCATGCTAGAATACCAATCCACGACCCATTTTCAATGCCATGGCTGAGGGAAGGAGGTTATCACCCAAGATTTGACGGTACATAGCCGCGTCCATCGTCCCTTTGATGCAGTGAAGTTGTCCTGTCCCCTTAGCAGAAAAACACCCCCAAAGCATAATGTTTCCACCTCCATGTTGAACGGTGGGGATGGTGTTCTTGGGGTCATAGGCAGCATTCCTCCTCCTCCAAACACGGCGAGTTGAGTTGATGCCAAAAAGCTCAATTTTGGTCTCATCTGACCACAATACTTTCACCCAGTTGTCCTCTGAATCATTCGGATGTTCATTGGCAAACTTCAGACGGGCATGTATATGTGCTTTCTTGAGCAGGGGGACCTTGCGGGTGCTGCGGGATTTCAGTCCTTCACGGCATAGTGTGTTACCAACTGTTTTCTTGGTGACTATGGTCCAAGCTGCCTTGATTCCTCACTGTTCTCATGATCATTGCAACTCCACGATGTGAGATCTTGCATGGAGCCCCAGGCCGAAGGAGATTGACAGTTCTTTTGTGTTTCTTCCATTTGCGAATAATCGCACCAACTGTTGTCACCTTATCGCCAAGCTGGGCGATGGTTATGTAGCCCATTCCAGCCTTGTGTAGGTCTACAATCTTGTCCCTGACATCCTTGGAGAGCTCTTTGGTCTTGGCCATGGTGGAGAGTTTGGAATCTGATTGATTGCTTCTGTGAACAGGTGTCTTTTATACAGGTAACAAGCTGAGATTAGGAGCACTCCCTATAAGAGTGTGCTCCTAATCTCAGCTCGCTACCTGCATAAAAGAGACCTGGGAGCCAGAAATCTTTCTGATTGAGAGGTCAAATACTTATTTCCCTCATTAAAATGCAAATTAATTTATAACATTTTTGACATGCGTTTTTCAGGATTTTTTTGTTGTTATTCTGTCTCTCACTGTTCAAATAAACCTACCTTTAAAATTATAGACTGATCATTTCTTTGTCAGTGGGCAAACGTACAAAATCAGCAGGGGATCAAATACTTTTTTCCCTCACTGTACATGTGTGACTCGTTAATTCACTCATTCAGGTAGGAGAGTGCGTGGAGGGGAGTAGAGTGAAATGAGAGGTAGGTGGTGGCGAGTCCATGGAGAATCCTGATAACCGTGAGAGAGATCTTGTAGTTGATGTTGGATTGGGAGCCAGTGAATGAATTGGGCAGCAGAGGACTCATAATCAGAATCTTCATTCATCCTGGAAAAATCCAACGAGCTAGTAAGCTTTCTTTCACAGATGTCCAGTAGGGGTTGGTCAGAAAGTTACAACAACAATGTCTCGAGGGGTTGCTGATCCGTTCTTTGTTCTTTTCGCAGGTGTGATGGGAACACCTGGAGCTAAGGGAGACCGCGGGGCTTCAGGAGACAAAGGCGTGAAAGGGGAGCCAGGTGAGCAGGGGTTTATCCAGATAGGGTGAGTCGTGTCCTGATGGCAGCAGACTTTTCTGCCACGTGGTGATTTGTCCACAATTACGTCAAATATGAAACAAAGCCTCTTCTTTGTTCATTAGATTCGTTGTAACATTGTTTTATCGTCATTAAGAACCCATAATGCAATGTGGATATCAAAAATGGAAAAAAACAACACATAACGTGTGTAATAAACTCGACGAAATGCACGCTTAAAATCAGTGATCAAACGAGGGAGTTCGGGCTCACTGCTGATACCTCAATAGGAGTAATCACATCACGTTTGTTGATGAATAACATCGGCTGGCTTGACATCAAACTGCAGCAGCAGCCAACAACTGTATATGACTGAGGGAGAAAATGAGCTGCTACGTTCAGATGCTGAAGAAGCTCCTAACATGCTGAATTTAATGCCAAACACAGGGGTCATTCTGCAAATATATTGGAGGTGAAATGAAAACGTCTATTGAACCCGATGATGTGGCAATCAAGTGCTCAAGTGATAAGAACATCGACCTGTGAAAGCAAAAAAAAAGTTTAAACAAAACACACCTCAATTGTGCATCTTATTAAGAAGCCACTGGAGTTATGTACTTAAAAAAAATAGATTCAAAACTAATTTATTTAGAAATGTTTTTTGTGTTTTCATTTGTTGCCCCTCCCCCGGACCTCCGATTAGTATGGTTGGTGTGAAAGCAATTCAATATACATACACGTGTCACACAGTATCATCAACGGAGATTCGTGTCACCCATCTCTCACTCGAGCACGTTGACACTTGACCTTGTTACCGTGTGTCTGTCTAGGTCTCCCGGGAAAGCTGGGCCCTCTTGGCCAATCAGGGCCAATGGGGCCTCCAGGAATCCCAGGTGAGAAGGGTGGCAGAGGCGATAAAAGCGAGAATGGCGTGGGGCCCAGGTCGGCCTTCTCGGCAAAGGTGGCACTTTACAAACCGGCAATCGGATGCCCCATGAAGTTTGACGTCATCATCATCAACTCACAGGGGCACTACAACCCCATCACAGGGAAGTTTACTTGTGCATCCCCCGGCACCTACTACTTCACCTTGTTTATGCACTCAAGTGCTAGTGGCCCTCTCGTGGTTATGATAATGAAAAATGGGCAATTGATATCCAATGTATGTGGCCGCCCAGACGAGGAAATTAGCGGTAGCGTCGTGCTGAGCCTCGAGACGGAAGATCAGGTATGGCTCGAGATGAAAGCTCCGTACATCAATTTGGTAATTGACGAAAGCAGGGACGCGCTGTTTAGTGGCTTTCTCCTTTTCCCCGACTGAATTGACTTCCATTGTCAGAGAATATGAAGTGAACACATGCACATCCTCATGAACATATTCACGCGTGCATAAATGCATACATCTTGAAGATGGGAAATTTTAATTCCTGGATACAAGTGATGATCAAATTCTCACTTCGAACTTTCAACATATAATGTAGATCGTGCCTCAAATAAATGGGGTCTGTTTTTGGATGCTTGCTTCCACAATGGAAGAATGGCAGGCATATCCTACAGATAAAAAGCTGATGGTCAGTGGCCAGATCAGCTCCACAGTATGTCCTCATGTCAAGCAGATAAGCTCACGTTGACTGTTCCACATTGCATCGTGCAACATATGTTTCTGCTTGGACCTGACACACTCGAAGTGTTATGTGATGACAGAAAAGGATGTTGGCCGTTATAAGCCCATGGGCTGCACAGCAATCCAGCAGCCGACTACCATTATTATTGAGATTATTTGTGGTATGCTTTTCAATACTCCCACCTAAAGTGTTAGGGTCATGACCCACCTTCGGCTTTAATGGAAGGCGCATTGGCCTTGGCTGCGACCCTCAATAGATGTTCATCATTAGTAGGGACTGAATCAAACACATTCCTGCGGAGGGAGCTGGTAGGAACGTTGGGTTGCTGTGAGGGCGGGCACAAGCCGGCGTGAGTAGGTTAAACGTTGAGTTTTATAAGGGCACCACGGGATGACCAGCCCCTCCCCACGCAGCCCCACCCCTCCCACCCCCCACCCAGCCCCACCCAGCCCCTCCCCACCCAGCCCCTCCCTGCACGATGGTCGGACGGACACAATAATCCCCTGTGGGCTGGTGTAACAGGAGGTTCCTACCAGTAAAACTCAACGTTTAACCTACTGACTCCGGCTTGTGCCCGCCCTCACAGTCGGGCATATTTGCGGAATACACCACGCCGCCGTTGACCCTGCAGGCCATTGACCGAGCAACCCAACGTTCCTACCAGCTCCCTCCGCAGGAATGTGTTTATTAAGATGATTTGTGGTATGCTTTTCAATACTTCCACCTAAAGTGTTAGGGTCATGACCCACCTTCGGCTTCAATATAAGGCGCATTGGCCTTGGCTGCGACCCTCAATAGATGTTCATCATTAGTAGGGACTGAATCAATTATCCTGTCACTACTTAGCTTATTCCAGGCCCTCACTACAGCAAACCAAATGTTTCAACTCGTACTCACGACGCTGCATGGCCGCCACGCGCGTCCCTCGCTCGTCCTCTCTCTCGTTCCTCCCCTGTCACCTGGTTCCGCTCACCCAAGCTCCACCCACTTCTGTCAATCCGAACCCCTCACCAATCAAAGTCATCCCTCTCTGACTGCCACAGGTTAATGTATGCATGCCTGCATTATACAGTAAAGATTGATCAAACATGCTCTTGTGTCTGTGTTTTTCTGTCTACAAAATATTTGAAATAATTTTTACCCCCAAGTAAGACTAAAATCACTACACCTCCGGTCCATCACTTATCAGCTGCTCCGGGCTCAGCAGACTCAACAGCCCGGATCGTTTTTTCTCCGACACTGCAGAAGATGGCACCTCGTGTGCTTTATCCAGACGAGGTCGGATTTCCATGTGGCCTCAGGCCGCATCTCCTGCACGGGCCTCTCTCGCCCTCCCGCAGCCCAGCATCACGCTCTCCGAGCACAACTTTGTTGTCCTGAGGCACCAGCAGCACCGGCTGAGAGGGTGGAGGCGCATTACCTCAAGTTCCACCCTCTCAACATAAAATTTGAATCGTCCTCGCGGCCACCCGCACCACCACGCCACGCCAGTCTCCCTCCCCTCTCTCTCTCTCTCTTGCTCTCGGCTCCTCCTCCCCCTCCTCCTGTCACTCTCAATCGGCTCGTCTCTTCCTGTCCCTCAGACACCTCACCTCCCGCTATCCACAGCGCCGAAGGGAGGTCAGGGCATTATGAGGGGGCAGGGGATGGAAGCGGCTCACAAGGGCTTCGACAAACCCATTCGTAATTCGAGGATTGCCTGTATTTTAAATCCCCCACGGGGGCTAGTGGAAGGTCGCAGGCTTGCCGGCAGTGGAGGAGAGAGCCATCATGCTCTACAGGAGCAGAATGGGTGCCCGGAGATGGGTCCACCCTGCACTGGACTGTAAGTTGGCAACGGCGCGAGGCCGGTCGCCCATGCACATGTGGCTGACACCACCAAGGCCACGGCAGTAGCCGGATCTGGCCGAAGCAACCAGCCACATCTTCAGCTGTTCGCTGGGGCTGTGCCGAAGCAGCAGCAGAAACGGGGAGAGGGGAATGATATCTCAACAAGTCCAGCCGCTACCCCATTCACCAATGCACATTACAGGTGTATGTAGCCACCACCACCCGTTATATGTCAGTATGTGCGTGCATGTGTGTATATGTTGGTACATATGTCTTTGTACATTTGTATGCCTGCGTTTGCATGTACTTGTGTTTGTTTATATGTTTGTATAAATGTGTGTTTATATAATTAAGTGTGTGATGTTGATCTTAGTTGAATTATGCTGGCAGGGCCACTAATAGGACATAATGGTTGGCGTCGCCCGGTATGTGGGGGATCGTTATCTTTGTATATACGTGTTGATTGCTACGTTATTAATGAGTGTTTTGTTGACCGCAGGAACACGTGACCCGAATGTATAAAGGGGGAGCCATGGACAGGGGAGAACCTCAGAGAAAATTTGGAAGGACCTCGAAGCAAAATCGGAGGCCAAATGTGCAAAGTAAGTCTGTGTGTGTGTCGGTCTACCATTCACGTGTGTTGTTATCAAAACAGGTTCAACTCATTATATTTGGCTCTTTGTTTCACAATCAAGATATGATAATGAAAATATCAGTAATTATCCTGCTCGAGTTTTTAAGAATGAGCATTGGCGCAATGTTTAGGGCATTGTGTGATGAACCCAATGACCCAAGTTCGATTAATGGCTATGGCTAATTTCAGTAGCGAACGATATCTGATCCGTACATCCCCACATTAGTCATAATGGGTTGGCGAATTATGGTGCCGAGGACCAGTTAAGATATCACCGTGCTCTGAAATCTCACTAAGGTTGCATAGTGTGGTGTGCTAACTACTCTGCCACTTCTCCCCATTCTAAAATACTTGAAAAATACACGGAAGTGGTACACACAAATCAACAGCTTTCCCTCTCCTCTTCCGAACAATACACACTTTGTTTTACTCGGACCTATAGTTTAGGCACAGGATAAAACAATCAGTGTATATTACAAAGGTGCTCTATTTATGGAATAAGGCCTATCTATTTATATCTGGTTTGAACAACAGTTTATTTTGGAAATTGAGAGGCCTTAAACCACAATGGAGCACTTTTGTAACATATAATTATATTTATTTTATCCTGTGGCTAAACTATAGGTCCGAGCAAATAAAGTATTTTCCTAACCAAAAAAAATTAACGCCCTAATTTAAACCCTGTAATAATTATTTAAGTCCACCAATATATATATTTTTTTAACGACAATGTTGTGGCTCCCCAGATGTCCGTCTTATCTCTGGTGTTGGTCTTGGCTCTGCTCTCCGTGACCACGGAGCTGGGCGAAGGAGCTGGCGCCCAGGAGGATAGAGCCATGTGTGCGGGGATGAGCGGGATCCCGGGGACCCCAGGGCAGCACGGGGCCCCTGGGAGGGACGGCAGGGACGGGAAAGACGGTGAGGGGAATTGATTCACAACTCACAGCCCTCATTTTAGATGGGCTGCTGTGGCCGTCTAGTACGCTCGTCCTTCAAATATTAGGTAGCCACTAGAGCTATGCATTTTTAAATCATCTAGGTTGAAAACTAATTTCTTTAGAACTGCTTTTTGTGTTTAGTTTGACTTCCTTCCCGCAGAGGACAGAATCAGAATAGTTATATATCTTGGATAAATCCGATGAGCTATGATACTCTTTTTCACAGATTTTCAGTAGATGTGGGTCACAAAGTTGCAACAACGTCTCGATGGGTTGCTGATCAGTTCGTTGGTCCTTTCGCAGGTGTGATGGGAGCACCTGGAGCTAAGGGAGACAGCGGCACTTCAGGAGACAAAGGCATGAATGGGGAGCCAAGTCAGCAGGGGTTTACCCAGACACGGTGTGTTATGTCCTGATGGCAGCGGACTTTTCTGGCACGTGGCAATTTGTCCATATCATGTCAAATATAAATAGAAACTTCTTACTTGTTCATTAGCTTTGTCAAATCATGTTTGTTTTTTTTTGTAAAAAAAAAAATTGCCATTAAAAAACCCAGAATACAATGTGGATTTCAAAATAGAAGAAAAAGCAGAAAACGTAACAAGCTCGATGGAATACACCCTTAAAATCAGATTGAACGAGGGAGTCCGAGGTCGCTGCCCTATCACGGTCGGGGTAATCACATCACGTTTGTCGATAAATAACATCAGCTGGCCTGACATCAAACTCCAGCAGCATACAGCAACTTTATATGACTGAGTGAGAAAAGGAGCTGCTCCATTCAGTATCTGAAGAAACGCCTAACATGCTGGACATTATGCCGAACACAGGTGGTCAATCCGAAAATACATTGGAGAGGTGACATGAAAATGTCGATTGAACTCGATGATGTGGCAATCAAGTGCTTAAGTGTTTTGGATATCGACCTTTGATAGCAAACCAAAAGAAGACGTTTTAACAAAACACACCTCAGTTACGCGTGTTATTCGGAAGCCACTGGGGCTATGCACTTTTAAATCTAGATTTAAAACTAATTTCTGTAGAACTACTTTTGTGTTTAAGTTTGTTGTCCATTCCCCTGCACCTCCAATTATCACGATTGGCTAGGTACGGTGCAAAAGAAGTTCAACATACATACACGTCTGGCTAAGTGCCACCAACAGAGATTTGTGTCACCCATCTCTCAGTCGAATACGTTGACACTTGACCTTGTTACCGTGTGTCTGTCTAGGTGTCCCGGGAAAGCTGGGCCCTCTTGGCCAATCAGGGCCCATGGGGCCTCCAGGAATCCCAGGTGAGAAGGGCGAACGAGGCGGCAAAAGCGAGAATGGTGTTGGGCCCAGGTCGGCCTTCTCGGCAAAGATGGCGCTTTCCACACAGGCAACCGGATGCCCCATGAAGTTTGACATCATCATCACCAACCCACAGGGGCACTACAACCCCATCACAGGAAAGTTTACTTGTGCATCCCCCGGCACCTACTACTTCACCTTCTTTATGCACTCAAGTGCTAGTGGCCATCTCGTGGTTATGATAATGAAAAATGGGCAATTGATATCCAATGTGTGTGGCCGCCCAGACGAGGAAATTAGCGGTAGCGTCGTGCTGAGCCTCGAGACGGGAGATCAGGTATGGCTCGAGATGAAAGCTCCGTACATCAATTTATTCAATGACAAGAACAGGGACGCGCTGTTCAGCGGCTTTCTCCTGTTCCCTAACTGAATTGACTGCTATTGTCAAGGAAGACAGAGTGAACACATGCACACACTCATAAACATATTCACACGTGCATGCATGCATACAAGACAAAAATAGGCGCCCCCTATTGTCTTTAACATACTTAAGTTGAAGATGATGTTGGGGTCCAGAATATATGTGGACATGTTTCTGGGCATCAAAGATTAGATTATCATGGTGCTAGAAGTTTTTTTTTTATTATTAAAGAGTGGTGTCTGATCTTGGGGCAGCAACCCGCAACCACCACCCATATCTTACTGTGCTGAATGGCTTTCCGGACCTCTGAGCAAAAGCTTTGGTAAGCCTCCTCATTCTCGGGCATAGAATGTTGCAATCAGAGAGAATAGATCTACCACTATATTTCAGCTAGCTGGAATGCCTCCTCCTTCAGGAATTGTGTGGAGGTCTGGATTGGCTACCCAATGCTGCCAATGCAGCAGCACGAACCACAGTCTTGCAAAAGAGGGGAAGCTTCAATTTACAGCTACAAGTGATGGTCAAATTATTGCTTTTACTTTCAACATATAAATGGGGTCATTTGTGGATGCTCGCTTCCACATTGGAAGAATGGCAGGCACGTCCTACAGATGAAAAGCTGATGTTAATGATTCTAGATTTGAAGCTTTCGTGACTGCAAGGATTCATACTCTTAGTTTTTTCGGTAAAGTCACGTAGGTAAAAAAAATTAATTAAAATTAATAAGAATAAAATAATAAAAATCACGACGTTTCGGAGGCAACACAAGTCTCCGTCATCAGGTGGGACCGTCACAGCCAGATTAGCTGTATCAATTGAGGCAGGGATTCCAAGATGCAAGTTCTTAAATACAAGTTAAGGGGGAGGAGAGGGCGGGGAGCATATCAGAATGTGGTAGCCAATGAATGGAACGTATTGGGAGGGGGGGCGGGGCTAAAAGAGAGCACGAGGTGTAAGTAGACGTGGACGTGTTTGTGCGCAAGCCCCTGTTGGTGCACATGATGACGTATTGGAAGGGGGGGGGCTAAAAGAGAGCACGAGGTGTAACTGTACGTGGACCTGTTTGTGCACAAGTACCTGTTGGTGCACATGATAGAAGAGAACGAAAATGCCCATGTTGTTTTTTACCAGTGTTGGCTGACAATCAAATACGAAAAAGGAGAGTACTTTAAACGCTGGGGATGTTAACACTCGGTAAAGTAAAATAGTACCTGTCAGATAAGATGGTCCAAAAATGTGTAGTTAAATCTTTTTTGCATGGTTAATAACATCTTTCCAATTATTACTAAGTGTGTACCCATCATCACGGTTGAAATTATGTCTGTGTTTGATGTCTGATGTTAGTGGCCAGATCAGCTCAACAGTATGTTCTCATGTCAAGCACATAAGCTCACATTCACTGTTCCACATTGCATCGTGCAAAATATGTTTCTGTTTGAACTTGACACACCTTAAGTGTTACGTGATGACAGAACAGCATGTTGGTCTTTACAAGCCCATGGGCTACAGAAAAATCCTAGCAATCTTCTACCATTATTATTGAGATGACTATTCCTATGCTTTTCAATACTCCTACCAAAGTGATAGGGTTATGAGCCACCTTCGGCATTAATACAAGACATTGGCTGCGTCCCTCAACACACACTTATAAGACATACACACGTGCAGTTCACACACGTGCAAAGAAAGACAAAGGTTTCCCATGTAGCCTTATCAGGCTTTTGAGACAAGTTCTGTTAGCGAGCACCTATGAAGGCCAGCACAGTAAACAAGGAGGTGGGTGGCCAGCACCACGGCCGACCGCCTTTGTATCCCCATTGGCGATGTTTACACACCGCACCAGGTACTCATTTGAGGCTAAGTTGACATACGGGAGGCCCAAGACCGGCTCAGTTAATCGTTACTGGTGGTGGCCGTGAGTTTCTATCAAACTCGGGTTACAGGGTTGTAGTGCTGTGCGCTAACCGCTACACTACAGCTCCACACATGCAAATACAACACAGACGACACTCACAGCGGATGCTTATTTTGGATTATTTGCGATATTAACCACGAGATGATAGATGTTATAAGTTCACGTGGCCCCTGCTACCACTATAGGCCGCTACATTTAACGCAAAAATATATTCGAACATATTTTATTTTTACGTGTAAATGATCAGTTTTAACCGTGTACCGCCCAATTGCCTTTTGTTGCTGAAAGTCACATACACCTTAATTTGCGTTTCTGCTCTGCTTAATATTAGGACCCCGTGTGATATTGATTTGCTCTGTAATGGCGTGGATCTGTGTTGTTTTGAAACAGAGGCTTTAGGTTTCCATGGGATCTAACCTCAGATAAATAAACCTGTAATAATTTATATGTGTCCGTATGTATGTAGTGTGGCAACTGGTGGATTTTATTCGTTGATGTGGTCGTGCTGTGGAAGTGGCAAGAGAAGTGCCAATAAATAATAAATAGTACAATGCACCAGGAATACTCTAGCCAAAATGATTATCCATCATCATTTAGAGTATTTGATTGCTTTTAATTGTCACATGATATGCCACTTTATTGGCCTATCATTTGTGTCCAGGTCGCTACTCAAATAGCTAGTTAGCTCAGTGGGCATTACATGATAAATTAGTTTAATATTCGTCGCGACTATCGCTACCAGACATTACCACTATGGGTTCAAATGTCATTGCACTGGCATGGGCAACAAGATTATAAACCTCTTGTGCCGCAGATCATTCTGAACATGTTTCTATTATGCTACTGCGCAGGCTTTCTCGGTTGTGCTGTGATGTGTTGTCAGGTTGTACTGCGTGGTGCTCAGCATGATGTCCAGCATGTTGGGAGCTTCTTCAAAAACAAAATAAAGCGAAATGTTGGGACACCATTCTGAACAATACATGGGAAAACCCGAAAAACACGTCAGAGCCATTTGCTCCTGTCATATTTTGTAACACGAGCCCCATAGCCCATGAATCAAGGGGGGGTGCCAATATCTGGAGTGCCAAATGCTCCAAATGCTCCAAATATACACCATGAGCAGAAAGATCAGTGTAAACACTGTCCGTGTCATGGACACATTTGCTATGTATTGGCATCTTCCACAGTTGTTTCATTTTATTCCCCTCCCAAAACGATAATGTCCATCAAACCTACTTCAGATGTTGATGGGTTTTTTTATCATAAAAAGCTACCACGCTAAAATTGCTACCATACATGACGTATTTGTGATCAATAGAGAATTTTGTTTCAATAAAATGTCTGTGAGCATTTGGCACCCTATGGGAGATAAATCACAAACAGTATGCAGTATGATGAAAAAATAATATCATTTATTCTTTCCGGCATACATCTTGATTCCGGCAGAAATAGTTCCATAAACATGTACAGTATTTTGGAGACAGCTTTTGTACAGCACAGGCAATATACCAAATTTTTCACAATCATAGTCATGAGATGGCAGCCTCCATGCAGCCCACTCTGTAATGCGAGAAATCACGACCAATGCCATCAACCCAGCATATGCATATCGATCAACAATCTCCTGGTTTCAAGAGTAACAACGCAACCCTCGGTGGTACCAATTTCCAGGCCCATGGTCCAATGACCGTTAGAGCAGTGGTTCCCGACCTCTATGAACACGTGGGCCATTGTCAATCATAAAAAAATTTATTTGTGAACCACCATGCACAAATACCGTATATTTCTAAATTAAAAAGAAAGGATTTCTAAATTAAAAATACTAAAATATTGCACTGTGAAATTATACTTAAAAAGCCATAACAATTATGAACTTGCCTTTAGTGACTAATAATATGAAATTTAAACAGTTCCGTGGACCACTTCCCAACGGCGTTGGAGACCATGGTTTGTACGTGTGTACGTTGAAATTCTTTCGCACCATACATAGCCAACCGTACTAATTAGAGATGCGGGGGACAGACAACATACTCAACACAAATCGCAGTTGTGAAGAAATGCATTTCCAATCTAGATTTAAAAGTGCATAGCTCCATTGGCTTCTTAATATCGGAAGGAAGAGCGTTCCAGACGGCCGCAGAAACGCATCTAAAAGCGCGCTATGTGGTGTGATCGTTTGTTCGAGGGCTCGCCAAAAACCGCTGGGCACACCTACGTTCGGGAAGGTCTCGAGAGTGGGTAGACTATGCCACCTGCTGGATAAATAAAGTTATACATTCTGACGATCACAACAGCGTCGGCTGCCATGCTTTGCAGTAACGTATTGTCCGGAAATATTGTACAGTACATGATGACTTGTATCATGACTTAGGCTGGATCTGCATGGCTCAGAGGACTGATACTGTGTCGCAACGAATCACCACGGACTGGTCAAACAAGATATACAATTTTGGTTTTTACTTAAGCTCAAAACATTTGAATAGAGAATGAACATTTCAGTGCACTGCCATGTGATGAACACTCTTTGTGGAGCTTATACAAGTTGTGCCTCATGTGTGGTTTTAAAAAGCAATTATGACATCACTTTTCAGGATGGTTCTTCGACACAAGGTTGTGCATTGCTCACTGTAAGAGTATTGAATGGATATTTCTTCTTAAATAACGCCGATAGTTGCGTTTTTACACGCTTTTATTTAACTCACTCTCTGTTGTTGTTGTCGTATCCTCAAATCTTGTAACTCAATTTAACCCACTTTCCAATGTCGTATCGACTGCAAATTTGGTATACGTATGTCATACTGATGAAAATACTATATTCTATCATTAAAAATAAAATATTTTTAAACCATATTTTTTATGTGTTATGTTTCGGCTTGGGTCTAATTGTCCACGCTGAACTAACGTTGGCTGTAAATCACCACGGTCACGTTGTGGCAAGCCTCGGGGCCACTTCCTGGAGTCGTGGAGTTTTGCCATTACGAGTACGGTACATTTCATTAAAGCGTGTTTTTAAAAAGGTATTTTTAAACATTACTTATTTTCAACGGTTTTACTTAACTTGACTCCTATGTTTGTCGTGGTCAAATCTTGTAATCAAAATTTAGTCTACTTCCTGTTGTCCAAATCAATTGCAAATTTTGCACACGTGCTCAGATCCGGTGACAATGCATCAAATCGGCATCAATTAATCAATTATTTCTCTACTTTAAAGCAAATAACATTTTATATGGACGCCTTATTATTTATATTTCTCTGTGTAGGTAAAAAACGCCGCGGTCCCTAAACTCTCGAATCGCCTGCTCCGTGTGAACGAGTTAGGGGCCGTCCATAAATGACGTCACGCGATTTTTTACCCCCCCCCCCCATCGTCACACATCGCCCCTAGGTGCGTGACGTCATTTATGGACTGCCCCTAAAGAGTGCGTGGGTTCGATCCCGACGCATGTTTATTTGGAGTTTGCATTTCTCTCTTCCCTGGGGTCGCGTGGATTTTTTCTCTCCACATGTATAAATACGCGTTTAGAGTAGTATTTGGCTCCTATACATGTCCACGTGATAAGCCAATTCGTCGAGCTATCATTTGTGATCACGTCACTTGTGAAAAAGAGCTATATATTACAGTGGGCCTGATCTGGTAAAAAAAATGTTTTATAGTTTAGTGTAAGGGTAGTTTAACAAT